GCGCTAATCCCGCGTGCAAAATGAGGCAGAGCAGCAGCACACCCATGACCGAGTCCGCCGGAGAAAACTGCCTCTTAAATCCTGTTCCTTAGTGCGAGCATCCTAAACGGGTGTAGTTATGCAAACATGCATCCTCGAGCTCTACAACGAATCCCGAATATTCTCACAGACAGCTTGCTGAACTCCAGGAATCATTTTAAGGTCTTTTTTATTACTATATTTTATTTTATTTTTAATCCTCGCGCACATGCACGCACATTAAATTGCCATCCTGTTGCACCGCGCGTGCAGCCTCGTCGTCACTCCACATGTAAATCCTTTGTGATGTTTTCAGTTTGCGCTCCATGATGCAGGTCCATCAACGTCTCTCCTCTCCTCTCTTATCATATCTTCTCCTCTCTTCAGGCAGAAGCACAGTGAAAGCTCGGTTGCATGCGAGAGGCACAAAAATTCCTCCACTTCCATCATCACACAGTTCAGGAGCGGTGTATAGCCACTATTTCTGTCAATCATACATTTTGGGGCGGGGCTTAGGCCCCAAGTGCTGAAAGCTGTCCAGTGCTGAAAGAAGGCGACTGCTCTTATTTAAGAAAATATATATTTTTTTAACTTTTATTAATCCCTCATGAGGAAATGAAAAAAGTTACTTTAGAAATAAATATAGATATAGCTATAGTCGTGGTAATATGACAAGAATACAAATAGAAAATATACAAATAAATGACAGAAAATGTGTAAAAAATACAGAAACAAACATTCAATGTACAGTTAAAACATTTAGCACTGATTGAACCCGTATAAATATAAAATTGTTTGCACACCACTCTGAAAAATGTTTTAATGCTAAAATTGTGCACTGGTTCTTTTAAATTAAAAAAAATTTCAAAAGAATTATAAATGTTGGATATGTGATTGTGCCCTGCGATGGACTGGCACACTGTCCAGGGTGTACCCTGCCTTGTGCCCGATGCTTCCTGGGATAGGCTCCAGGTTCCCCGCGACCCCGAAGAAGGAATAAGCAAGCGGTAGAAGATGGATGGATGGTAATCTAAAACCTTGGAACCTTGTAATGTACAGTAGTTAGCACCTCCTAACCACCAGGAACGCTGTTCCAATCCCTGGATACCTTCTTGTACATGTGCACACACAAGATGAGATTTGTAATCTCGTGAGTGTATAAAATACTGTTTTGAACGTTTGAGTTTCATAGGACCACAGTGTACATAGAACTGCAGTGTATATAGAATCACAGGTACATGATCTGTAGTGTCTGTCACAGTTGAAGGAATTTTCACAAACCATGGCGGCATGGATTGTGGTCTGCTTTTTTATATTGTACGTATCTATAAAAATGTATTTCTTTGTTGCTGTTGTGTTTTTGTATTTCTACCACTTGGGTGTTTCATCTATTCTTGGAGAGATCTTTAAGGGTTTCATAACAGGGTTCTACTTGGAACCTTTTTTGATAAAATTTGACTAAAATTTATGAATTTTCTCATAGCTGCATTATTTCCCAGTGCCTTATTTCTCATCTCACCGGTTCCTTCCCCCCCTGATGATGTACCATTGGATTGGTCAGAAGTTTCTTCAGTTCCCTGATTACAACATAGCTAGTACAGTTAGCTCTTTATTAAGTTAGTACTTAATAAGCAACATAGGCTCTGTGAAACTTCTTCAGAGCATTAGTTGAAGGCCCCAATGAGGATGGAACTCACCCCTGGTTTATGAAACTGAGCTATGGAGCGTTGAGGAAGGGTTGTATTTGGAGCTCATTCTATTTATATGTATGTCTTGATTGTGTGGTTGAAAAAACATTTTAATGAATATGGTCTTCAGGTTCTTCTGTTCTTTAGGGTCAGTGCTGCTCAAGGCTCCATAGCTCAGTGGTTAGAGCACTGGTCTTGTAAACCAGGGGTCGTGAGTTCAATCCTCACTGGGGCCTTCAAGTGAGGTTTTTGTGGATATAAACCTGGAATGGCTGCGGGCAGCACCTTACAGCTCTAGGTTGTTGGGTTCTGTCCTGAGCTCAGTTTACTGTGCCTGTGTAGAGTTCTTCCCTGTATTGGTAAGTACTCAAACTGTATTTCAGATAAGAAATGATTATAAGTAACAGAAATGGGATTTTCAAGACCAGTAGGCCTCACTGAAGCAGGAAGTGGGGTTTTGATGTCCAAGAAATGCCTGAGCAGTTGAGTGCCAGCTTCTTCTGTTCCCAACTTTTTATGCAGAAACATCAGAACCTGAGTAGTCCATGAGATTGTCTCTTATATCTTCAAAATGTAGGTTAGAGGCCCCAGTGATGCTTGAACTCACAACCCCTGGTTTACAAGGGCAGTGCTCTAGACACTATGGAACCTTGTGACATGCTTGGCATTGTCTCTTGTTATGTGAATCATGTTGGTTCACACCCTGTAAAGTAAATATTATTATTCAGGTCATTATGTACATGATTACTGAGGGTGTGACTGCTTTTATAAGCATGTTCTTCCACTTCACCAACATGGCTCCATAGCTCAGTGGTTAGAGCACTGGTCTTGTAAACCAGGGGTCGCGTGTTCAATTCTCGCTGGGGCCTTCGATAACTTTTTTTGATGATATAAACTTTGACAGGCAGTGGGTATGGTTGCCTCTTCTGAGCTCGTGTTACTGACAGTGTGGAGTTTCTGTGCATACTCTCTCTGTCTTTTGGTATTGCAAATGTCCAATTCAACCTTGAAAAACCTGAAAGATGCTTGAAGTATAGTTTAGATTAAAAATTATTATAAGAAGGAATTTCCTGATCATCTTCATTGGACCTCACAGAGGAATTGAGAGGTTAGACTTGCAAAATTAAGAACAGAGTCATTGTGTGAGCTTATCTTTTAATCTTCAAGACATCCCATGAAGGCCCAAATGATTAATTCGTCACTTGATCACAATAAAATTTTATATAAGTCTTTCAGGGGCACACGCTGGCTTAGTGGTTAGCACGGTGGGACTCGCCTCTTGGGGGTTCGAGTCCCACCATGGCCCTGTGTGTGCGGAGTTTGCATGTTCTCCCCGTGCTGCGAGGGTTTCCTCCCCCAGTCCAAAGACATGCATGGTAGGCTGATTGGCATGTCCACGGTGTCCGTATTGTGTGAATGTGTATGTGATTCTGCCCTGCGATGGACTGGCACCCTGTCCAGGGTGTACCATGCCTTGTGCCCGATGCTCCAAGTTTCCCTGTGACCCTGAAAAGGATAATGTGGTATAGAAGATGGATGGATGGATCAATCTTTCAGCTCTCTAGTCTGATCTCAGATCAGTTGCAGCCTGCCCTCCGTTTTCCAGATTTCGGCTCACTCTGCCTCACCTCATGAATATTTCAGTCACGCTCGGAGCTTCATCAGCAATGCTTTACAACTGAAGCAGAGCAAAGTGCTCTCTCACATCATCCGCAACTCTCTGACTGACCCCATTTCCTCGCTCCAGATCTTACATCACCGTGGCTGAAAGTCAGTGTCAGACGCTGAACCTGGATCAGTTCGAAAGGAACTGTGAGTGGAGCAGGTTTGAATAGACTAAAAATGGATTTTTTTGCATCTTCAAACCTCAGAGAGCAGAAAGTGTCAGTATGGAAATAGAGTCTGTGGGTTTTTATTCTAAAGGAGACAGAGTGAAATTTTAAAGTCGAGTATAAAACAGTATTCTGTGGAAGAAAGCCTGCAGGCAGAACTTTAGATTTCTTTTATTGTCTGTTTTACCAGTATATTAAGCCATGGTCCTTGGGTTCTTCGGTTCCTGGGTTCCTTCTCTCCCTGTTCCCTGGTTTATACTTATTTCATATTTTCCTGTCTGTGTGTTTGAGTGTCCAGGAATTTTTTTTTTATAATTCCAAGTTTCCTAGTCCTAGTTTTCGTCTTTTCACCTTCCTTGTTCCTAGTCTGATAATCCTCATATCTTCCTTGCTTCCTGCCTTGGTTCCCTTTTTACTCAACTCCTACTGTCACAGCTCCAGATTTCTAGCCTTCTATTTTTTTGTGGTTATTTTCCTGGTTGATACCTTGGTTCATACTTTCGTAGTATATGTATTTCCTAACCTTATTGTAAGGGGGTGGTTCTTCAGGGGTTCTTTAAAGGTTCATTGTGTTCTCAGCTTCCTGAAAAGGGATACACCTCTTTTGTTCTAACATAAGAATTTTCTTTTTTTTTTCTCTTATCCTTTGTTCCTAGATTGAGGATTTAATTTATCTGGGTTTTTTTTATTCTATTCATCTGGCTCCAGAGAACCTTCTGTGCCAATGTTCTCAGTTCCAAATTTCAGATCAGAATCACTCAGTAATCACCTTTCTTTCTTCAAAACATCCTCTGCAGGCCCCAGTGAGGATTGAACTCACGACCCCTGGTTTACGAGACCAGTGCTCTAACCACTGAGCTATGAAGCCTTGCAACTCCCTCAGTGTGTACTTCAGTAGCCACAGAAACTAGTGTAACATCACAAAATTTAGATCTTACAGTACCTGCAGTTAGTCCTGCAGTTACATTCTGGCTACTTTCTCAGTGGATCCAAAAAAGAAAACAAAACAATGGACAGGCTACGCCCATAAGAGACAAACCACAAGCACCAAGAGCGACCTCATTGATCAAGGCTTATATTATGTTAGGTGGGTCCATCGTCAGGTGATCAGAAATTCAACCAAAAATGAATCTTTGGTTCTTAGTGTTTTACTTGTAATTTCCTTGTTCTCATACTTTTTCCTCATATATCTCATAGTCAAATATTATCCCACTTTCCTGATTCTTAGTCTCAGGGTTTTCATGTTTTATATATGACATGTATGTAGTCTCTCACAGAGATTTGTGTGTGCGCACCAATTCACTGCTCCTGATTCTACAGTGCTGTTTTGTTTTTAGTTCATTCTTGTTGCATTAATAAAGAATCCAGTCAACCAGGTTTGTCCTGATCTGTAAGAATAGCTATGTTGGACTCGTCATTGCATGCTACGCTGTTACTAATGCTTACTTACTAAAACTAGAATGCCATCATAGCTCAGTGGTTAGAGCACTGGCTTTGTAACCAAGGGTTTGTAAGTCCAATTCTCACTGGGGCCTTCAGGGAATCTTTTGACCATATAAACCTTGAGAGGCAGTGGGAAGCGCTGCTTCTTTTGAGCTCCATGCTCCTAGGTTTGATTCTGAGCTTGCGTTACTGACAGTGTGGAGTTTCTGTGCATATTCTCTCTGTTTTATGGTGTTGCGAATGTCAACCTTGAATAACCTGTATTGATGCTTAAAGTGTAGTTTAAATTAAAAGCTTATTGTAAGTCATGGAAGTTACTTTATCATATTAATTTCCTACATCAGTGGCCCTCACAAAAGCAGGAATTGTGGGTTTGAGACTTGCTGGACTCCTGATATTTAAGATCAGAACCTGAGTCACTGTGTGAGATCATCTTTCTATCTTCAAAACATCCCATGATGGCCCCAGTGAGGGCTGAACTCACAACGGCTGGTTTACAAGAACAGTGCTTTAACCACTGAGCTATGAAAACTTGAACATGTTCCTTCCAGGCAAATAGAACCTTGACGAACCTCAGTGGTACGTCAGTAGTCATAGAAATTGTTGTAACATCACTAACAAATTTAGTCCCTACCTGCAGATAGTTCCTGTTTACTATTTGATGCACAAAAACAGACAAACATTTTAAACAAAAAAATGGTGTATATAAATCGTATGGAGCTGTGCATGCAGGCTACCTTCTCACTGCAACAAAAAAAACAAACATTAGACAGGCCACACCCACAAGAGACAAAATAACAAACACACTTGCTAACTGCTTCATGAGCAACCTGCCAGACTTCATTAATTAAACCCTGATGTTACTGCCCTCTTTAATACCAGCTCCTGTATTTAACTCAAACCCGTTAATGTGTTGTGTGTGTGTGTGTGTGTGTGTGTGTGTGTATGTATGTGTGAGAGAGAGAGAGCAGGATGGAGGTGTTTTCCAGCACACTGTTAGCTCTGTGAAGCGTTAACACTCTGAAGGGCTAAATATAGCTGTGTCTGTATCAGCCTGAGGAACAGGACTACACGTTCTCTGCACATCAGTATTTACACTACAAACATTTACACTCAGACCCCATCAACCCCCCGCCACCCTGATACTGTACACTGAATTGCCATTATTTCACTTATTCGATTATTATTTTAATGATTCCATGAACACACAAGTATATAATATCAGAACCTTTCCAACTCATGCTCATCAGAAACATGTACATTTATACTCTTCTACTTTTAATTCTATTTGGTTCTGTTCTATTATTGCTGATACAATTGCACTTTATTACATTTCTATTCTGTTGTTTTTTTGTTCGATTCTGTTCTGTTTCATTCTTGGATTCTGTTTCATTACACCTGTTTCATTCTACGCTGCTCTGTATTATATCTCTGTATTATAGTTTATTCTATTCTATTCAGTTTTGCAAAAATTACATTTCAATTTTCCTTCTTGTTTGTAACATTATTACATTTTATCCTATTGTATTATTAAATAAAAAAATTATTATACTTTTTAAATAAAAATTATTCTTATCTTTTATTCTGCTCTAGTATATTTTCATATTTTATTTGATTGCATTACATTGTATTCTGTTTTTTTCCAGTTCTATTTGTATATTTTCATTTGTTATTTTAGTCAGCAGCATATTTTATTACATATATTTCTATTTTATTCTATTTATTATGCCGTATTTTAATTGAATCTGTTTTTTTTCAATGTTCCAATTATGTTGCAATTTATTTGTAGTCTGCTTTATTCTGCTTCATTTTATTTCATTTTGCTTTTATGCTGTATGTCAGTTCGCTTAAAAAATGTTTTATTACATTGTACATTTTATTACATCTTTATTTATTTATTTACTCCTGCTTCATTTGCCTTTATTGTGTTTTTATTTCATTCTATTTTGTGATATTTATTACACAAAGTACAGTACAGTAAAGGCGTCTTGCTAAATAAAAAAATTCGGAAGCCTAGAGCTCTGTCTGGTAAGGTTCTCTACATAGAACCTTTAAGGGTTCTCCCATGAAAAAACAAACAAACTGTACTGTTGTGCCCTTAATATTAAGGTTCTAGTGTGAACCTTTCTAGGGTGGTTGTTGTTTTCCTTCCCATTGTGTGGCATGTTAGAAAATGGTTCCTGGAGGCTTGTGTGGATTGTTTGTTTGCGCATGCGCGGAGCTGTTTGATCGGCGGCAGCAGTGAAAAGAAGCTTTGTGTTCTCTTCTTCTCTACTGTGATGTGAAAAACTGAAGATCTGCAGCATGGCACAGCTGAGAGAAAACACACCGACACACAGAGGCGTCGTGGTAAATACATAATCCCTGAATATGGATATTCCGATCAGCGCGCGCACTTGTTGGTTTTTGCTGTAGAGTCGAAAAAGTAAAACCGGAGTTTGAGAAGTTTCCAAAACTTGTGAGGAAGCTCCCTGTTGCGCAACACGCAAGTCTTCCTGCGCCGTTTACACTCGCTTTACTTCTTCTCTGTTTTTCACATGCATCATCTAGAGTTTTCTAGTCTTTGTAAAAGCACGAGCTCGTTCGTTCATTCGTTCATTCATCCATTCATTCGTTCATTCATTCCTTCATTCATTCATTGCGAAAAAGCAAACGTGAGCGCTTTAAAACTCATCACTATAAACAGGCACATTCGCGTCAAACCTGCGGGTAAAACAGTCGCTTTTATACTGTTGAAAATAAAAATAAACAAGTGACACTCGACCTTCTTGTCCGAATTCCTCGTTCCACCTTAAAAGCAGTCGCTGTGACGTCACTCGTGCGTTACCAGGTAACGGTTGAACATGTGTGCCGAAAATATTCAAAATGAGAACAAGTAAGGCCTCAAGTCTCAAAACTAGTTTACAAACACAACTAGTTAGCATTTAATCTGAACTCTACGCTACTTCTGAACCTCTGGAGTAAAACTTATGCGAAAGGATTTTTTTTACAACATCAATATTCCTATATAATGACATGACACTCATTTTGTTCTGACTCTCACTGTTCAAGATATTGTCAAGTCCTGAGTCGACTCATCATCTTTAATTTTCCATTTTGTGGCTACTTAAGTTACTAATCTGCACCAAAAAAAGACAGAAAGAAAGATGTATGCCATGTATAGAAAGTGATCTTGGAAAATAATTTTTTAGGATAATCACAGAAATCCTAATGGTTTCCACTACAAATACCATTACAAACCATCAGCTAACCATTAAAACCGTTATCTGTCCTTGACGGTATCCACTAGATAGAAGATGACAAATTAGACGAAGTCGAGACTCACAGGGACCGTTACAGTATCTATTCAAACCAAGACAATTCCCATTAAACCATTACAAATTCTATGAGTTTCTTTTGTTGTTGTTGTTTGTTTGTTTTCAGCAGGGGCAGAGAAGGAACTGGTAGTTGAGAAGATGACTCCAAGTAATCTTGACGAGTTGAAATTTCAAGTCGAGGCAGGTTTCACTGGTTGTAGGCGACAATTACAAATTGCAACCTCACCTAAGAAAGTTGTCAAGAAATTCCTAGCTATCACTAACTTGTCGGCTAATTGCTTGGCTAGCTAAAAAGTTCATGTAGGCAGACAAGATTATATTTGCAATATTACAATAGTATATTTATCCTATAAGCGTAGCTAGCTTTTAGTCTACTAAAAATGATAATAAACATGGTAGTCATTACAGAGAAATTGTCTAGCTAACACGAACTAGCCAACTAGTTACTTGTATAGCTAGTGAGCTAATTTTAGAGAAAAACATATTTATAGTTTATATAAATACTTATGGAGCTAGCTAGCTATTTTGGCATTAAAAAAATTGTTGTTGTTTAACAGCAGTACTACAAAAATTAACAGATGCTGATTTTCAAAAAAAAAAAAAACTCTAGCTAGTACTAATTTTCCAGCTAACTAATGTTATCAAAGAAAAGGATTTATGGGTTACGTACCTAAAGGAGTTTAGCTAGCTTTCTCAGTAATTGTGAACACCAACACTATTTTAAAAAAAAAAACATGCTATATGTTTAGGAAGTTTCTAGCTCGCACTAGCTAACTAACGAGTGCTTCCTGATATTAGTTTGCTAGCTTAAACAACAGTGTTGTGCTGTGTGTGTGTGTAAAAATTATTTAGTAAATAAAGTTTGGAGATAGAGATGGAACTTTCAAGTGTCGAGTCTTAAATGGTACGCTATATTCTCAGACAATACGTAACATACTTTGTACGCTTCGTGCTTATCTAGTATCGCTACGTTCTAGGTAAATAACATCTCAAATCTAACACTGAAAGGCAATGACAAATTAGCCTGTCACATCATTGAGTGACCAAAACAAAATGCCTTCCACTGGATCAACAGCATATATATATATATATATATATATATATATATATATATATATATATATATATATATATATATATATATATATGTATGTGTGTGTATGTAAGTATTTATTTTTTATTTTTTTATCCAAAATGGTTGCCTGTTGCCTGTCCAACTGTTATGGTTGCCTGTTGCCTGTCCAAACCATACCAATTCATGTGATTTTATTCAGTACAAAAAACAACCTGGAAAGTCACTTTTAATGTTATTTATTTTCCCCTATTTTCCCCTGTGTTTGGATTGCTCGGTGCGTTATTAAAAATGAATAAACAACGCCACCAACAGGCAACATGATGTTACTCCGGCTTTGAGGTGGAACACCACATTTTCATGGTGCAGGAGGGTCCAGATTAGATATGTGCATGGGACTTTTTATTAACCCTCTACTGCATGAAGTATTATATTTAATTTAAAAAAATGTTTTATGGATTTTTATTGCTTGAGTTAGTTCAAGTAATTAAAAAGAATTTGTTAAAGTCATAAACATATATACACAGTTTATAAAAATGCATATTAGGGGAGGATAGTTAGTAAATTGTTGCTGTTTGGCATCAGTGTGCAGTGGTGGAAAGTGTCATATAGTCAAAAAGAACACAAAATGTATATTACAATTACTGCATTTTCCAGAGTTTTTTTTGCCACCCACTAAGCATGTAAAAATGATCCCTTCTAGAAGGAATTACAGTTGTAATAAATATGTGGATGGATTTACTCATGCAAAATAAAAACAGACATCCAAAGTCTCATCCAAACATGTTTTGGGTGAAATATTTTAAATTCTTTTTCTTGAAACATAATTTGGAAAATAAGATGCAGCTGTAATATGTCTGAAATGACACCAGTTTTTCTTACTTTGAATGTGGAAAAAAATGTAAATATACTATTAGAGATGCCTTTGCTGTGTAGGCCTGTTTCAAGCACCACGGTTCCGTTATCGCATCTTGTTGCCATGTGGCAACAATTACATTTTACCATTTAACGGAATACTCAAAATATATTAACATGTTCAAATGACAAAAAAAATGTACTTATCTCAGATAGTGTTTAATTTTTTTTCTTTAAGTAATTTTACCTGAATATTGAAAAATGTATAACATTTTCAGAGCCTTCTGA